GGGTTCAATTCTTGGCACTCCTTGAGATAATACAACCCTCTTATTAGCTGCTAGCACCATTCTGTTTTAATTTTTCATATATGTGTGTGTGTGTGTGTGTGTGTAAGTGGTAACTAACCTTATGTTACGATGTTTCAGGGTCGCTGCAGGCATTCTGGGATTGTAAGTGCAAATATGCTCAGTCAGGCACATATCACGTGATACACTGTCAATGTGACATTGTTTTCATTTTATTTTTGTGTGCAGAAATGAGGATTGTAGGTAATAAAGTACAAACAGACTTGTACCTGCAGGCGCCCGTAAGATTAAAAAACGATAGCCTTCATGCTTGAAACCGCTTTCATTTTATTCTCATTTTTTCCTAATTGTGGCATCCAACCCACAATATACATGCATGGTGTGCTATATTATTTTCAGTATTTTTATCTGCGAGTTTTTTCGGTATACTAATCTTCATCTCCAATACGGCAATGACTCAGCTGAAAGGAACTTAAATCAAAGAACTTATTTGTGGATCGTTCTTCTCTGGACGGGGTTGGACGTGGGGGACCTTTATGATGAAGAGTAAATCTCCCGGAAATTAAAAGTTTGCAATTTAACATCTAAATCTCATTGTTTTCTGGGAAAATTCTCAGATAGCATGCAACTTTTTCGTTTGTGAGTCTGTCATATACGATTCTATTCAGGGACTTTGCACATTCAAACCCAATACAGAGGTGCATTTCACAAGCTGCAATATCACAAGTCTCAAAAAATAAAATTGAATGAATTCAAAACTGAAATCAATTTTTTAAAGCAGGAGTATAGAAAAAAAAACAGGACTGTCTCAATTTTACATCTACATGTAATTTCTATTGTGACATATGATCATTAACTTACGTAACCAAATGACACTTTTTCATTTTGGTACTCAAGAACAAAATTTGGACACTTAGTGTATACTGGTATATGCACGGGGTTGTCTTTACGCCAAAAAATCCACACAGAATACCTCAAAGAACCACAGTGTTTATGCTATCCTATCCGGACATTCCAATCCATTTGGGGGGAAAATAGTCCTCATGGTTGGTGCGCCACCACAAGAGGGTGCCAGGTTTGGGCCAGTCTTTATAGTAAACCACGTCTCCCCCGGCCAACCACGCGCCCCACCAAGAAAAGGTACCCACCGACATTATGGTGTGGTTACAACTTCCTAAGAGAGCTAAACCCAGCATGGGGTCCTTGAATGGGTTGTATCGGATTCGTGGGTGTTGAATATTCTTTCTGCACCAAGACATATCATCAGACACTACAATAAACAGGATGTTTTTGTAGTTATTCTCAAAGTACCGCATGGCTTTGGTGTAGTAACTAGATGGTGCCACGTTATAACCACGTTTATATGCCCTAAGCATGTCTTTCCCATACCGGGCATTAATTCCAATATACGTTACTCTCTGTTTTGTACTGTTTATCCCAAGTTCTAGTAAAGAGGTGCCTAAAAACGCATCAATTTGTTTGCGAAACTCCACCTCCTTTCGGAAACGAAAATGTTGCCTCAGATCATCTTCGACATTGTGGAAATATTTCCAGGACTGCATATAATACAATAACTGTACCGATTGTCCGTTCTTGTACAATGTCTCCGTCCTGTTATCATAAAATGCGTATTTCTTCTCGTGGAATTTCACAAGTTTAACACCAGGCGGTAAAGAGCGGGGAATATAATCCGGAATTTGAAATACTCCTCGTACCTCTGCGTTTTCAAGCAGGACCGGAGTCATGTTGTTACGTTTTGCAATTCCATACATTGAAGCAAACTGAAACATACGGTTACCCGTGCGACCAAAAACCCCTGTCATGATAAAAAGCCCCGTGGAATTAATCCAAGATTTTGATCTTTTTTCCAGAGCTGTTTCCATGTCTGGGGAAACAAAACGGTGCGCTTCACGCATATTTTGTTCGGATTCAGTTTTCGTCTTCAGTGTATTTGGTTTGATTTCACGGGCTAAATCTTCTTTGTGAACGGATCCAGGAGATGTGGTCGGAATTTGGTTTGGCGTGGAGCTTTTGCCTCGGAGGTGACTTTCCGTCGTGTCAGAACCCCAATGTCGTGGCGTAGGCTTTTCTTTTCTAGCAGTAAGCAGCGCCGTTTCAGTTTTCATAAGTGATTCGCGAGTTTTCATATCTGGGGGATGGAAATTGTTAACACGGATAAATGTATCGGAGTACCACACCAATACTGTCAAACCAATTGCTCCGAAAAACACTAAAAACCGAACTATATTGGCTGCTGTCGCCATTCTTTTTGCCATCAAAGAGAAATTTAACCAAAGCTTTTGCGGGTTAGTTAATATGATTCGCGAGACGCATGTCAGGATTGTAACCAACTATTATCAATTATTCAATTTAACGAACAGGCTTGTGCCTGCGGACGCCCTTGAGATTAAAAACCCTAGCTTCCTTACTTGAAACAGCTTTACATGGAATGTTTGTATTTAATCACTTTTCTGTTTTCCCGTACTGTGACTTGAGACCACAAAAACACTTTGTAAAGTTATTATATATATATATATATATATATATATATATATATATATATATATATATATATATATATATATATATTTATTTATTTATTTATTTATATATATATATATTTTTTTTTTACATGGGCATTTCCTTTACTGTACAAATCGCTACCTCCATTACGAGGCTGATCTAAAACTAGAACTAAATAAGTGTTTGTGGATCGTAATTCTGTAAACGGGGTAGTATAGGGTTGGCCTGGATAATGATAATGATGAGTAAAAAGCTGAAATCTCCAGGCAAATTAAAACTTTGCCATATAAATGCCTAAATCTCATTGATTCCAGTGAAATGAGCTAATCCAAGCTCGGTGGAGTCACGTATGTACGTGTGGTATGCAGCTTCACAGAACCTGCTTTCATCTAAATAAATAAGGACAGACATCATAAGATATAATAATCATATTTCGAGAAATATTATCTTTATTGAGAAATTGCTGTATCTGGTGTGCAGGAGCAAACTTTGAACGCCTAGCCATACTGTGCACAGGTATACGGCTGCGGTGGTATTATTAGCTAGCGAAAATATGTAACGGAATAGAATACTTTGAAGATCCGCCATGTTTATACTATCCTATCCAGACATTTCAATCCACCTTGGAGGGGGGGGGGGGGGTGATTATCCTCACAGTTGGTGCGCCACCCAACAAGAGGGTGTCAGTTTTCGGCAAGGTGATTGTGTATTTGTGTGTGTGAAATCCTCTAGAATATATGTTCGGTCTTTTGCTTTGTTTGCAGTTTTTACCTAGGAGGTTATTTTGTGTCGTGTCATAACTCCTTTGTCCTGGCACTAGTATTTGATCGAATGCTGGGTTTCTCCTTTTGCAGTTAGCAGAGCAGTTTTATTTTTCAGGAGTGATTTGCTGGGTTTCATCTCTGGGGGATGAACGTCTTCAACAGTTATCAATGTATCAGTGTGCCACACCAGTACTGTAACATCGATTGCTATAAAAATTATCAAGGCGAACTGTATTATCTCAAGGAGTTCCGACAATTCTTAGAACCCCTGGATTAGCTCAGTCGCCATTCTGATTTAATGATTTAATTATTCATATATATATATATATATATATATATATATATATATATATATATATATATATATATATATATATATACGTAAGCGGTTATAATCCTATTGCACCGTGTTTGAGGGTCGCTGCAGGCATTCTGGGATTGTAAGTGCAAATATGCTCAGTCAAGCACATATCACGTGATACGCAGTCATCGTGAAATTGTTTCCATTTTATTTTTGTGTGCAGAAATGAAGGTTGTAAGTTATAAAGTACTTATACAGACTTGTACCTGCAGGCGCTCGTAAGATTAAAAAACGATTGCCTCTATGCTTAAAACCACTTTGTTCTCATTTTCATTTTTTACTTATTGTGACATCCAACCAACAATATACATGCAAGGTGTGTTATATTATTTTCAGTATTTTTAACAGCGAGTTTTTTCGCTATACAAATCTCAATCTCCAATACGGCAATGACTCAGTTGAAAGGAACTTAAATCAAAGAACGTATTTGTGGATCGTTCTTCTCTGGACGGGGTTGGACGTGGGGGACCTTTATGATGAAGAGTAAATCTCCCGGAAATTAAAAGTTTGCAATTTAACATCTAAATCTCATTGTTTGCTGGGAAAATTCTCAGATAGCATGCAACATTTTCGTTTGTGGGTCTGTCATACAATTCTATTCAGGGACTCTACACATTCAAACCCAATACAGAGGTGCATTTCACAAGCTGCAATATCAAAAGTCTAAAAAAATAAAATTAAATGAATTCAAAACTGAAATCAATTTTTTAAAGCAGGAGTATAGAAAAAAAATCCAGGACTGTCTCAATTTTACATCTACATGTAATTTCTATTGTGACATATGATCATAAACTTACGTAACCAAATGACACTTTTTCATTTTGGTACTCAANGGGGGGGGGGGGGGGGGGGGGGGGGGGGGGGGGGGGGGGGGGGGACCTTTATGATGAAGAGTAAATCTCCCGGAAATTAAAAGTTTGCAATTTAACATCTAAATCTCTTTGTTTGCTGGGAAAATTCTCAGATAGCATGCAACTTTTTCGTTTGTGAGTCTGTCAAACGATTCTATTCAGGGACTCTGCACATTCAAACCCAATACACAGGTGCATTTCACAAGCTGCAATATCACTAAAAAAATAAAATTAAATGAATTCAAAACTGAAATCAATTTTTTAAAGCAGGAGTATAGAAAAAAATCCAGGACTGTCTCAATTTTACATCTACATGTGATTTCTATTGTGACATATAATCATAAACTTACGTAACCAAATGACACTTTTTCATTTTGGTACTCAAGAACAAAATTTGGAAACTTAGTTATACTGGTGTATGCACGGGGTTGTCTTTACGCCAAAAATACCACACAGAATACCTCAAAGAACCGCAGTGTTTATGCTATCCTATCCGGAAATTCCAACCCAGTTTGGGGGAAAATAGTCCTCATGGTTGGTGCGCCACCACAAGTAAGTGCCAGGTTTGGGCCAGTCTTTATAGTAAACCACGTCTCCCCCGGCCAACCACGCGCCCCACCAAGAAAAGGTACCCACTGACATTATGGTGTGGTTACAACTTCCTAAGAGAGCTAAACTCAGTATGGAGTCGTTGAATGGGTTGTATCGGATTCGTGGGTGCTGAACATTCTTTTTGCACCAAGACATATCATCAGACAGTACAATAAACAGGATGTTTTTATAGATATTCTCAAAGTACCGCATGGCTTTAGTGTAGTAACTAGATGGCGCCACGTTATAACCACGCTCATGTGCGTTCGTGTGCAAGTCTTTCCAATTCCGGGCATGGATTCCAATATACGTTACTTTATCCCTTTTGATGTTCATCCCAAGTTCTAGTAATGCAATGTCAAAAAAAGCATTGATTTCTCTGCGGAACTCTGCCTCCTTTCGGAAACGAAAATGTTGCTTTAGATCATCTTCGACATTGTGGAAATATTTCCAGGACTGCAAATAATACAATAACTGTACCGATTGGCCTTTCTTGTACAATGTCTCCGTCCTGTTATCATAAAATGCGTATTTCATCTCGTGGAATTTCACAAGTTTAACACCAGGCGGTAAAGAGTGGGGAATATAATCCGGAATTCGAAACACTCTCCGTACCTCCGCGTTTGCAAGCAGGACTGGTGTCATGTTATTTCGTTTTGCAATTCCATACATTGACGCATATTCAAACATACGGTTACCCGTACGACCAAAAACCCCTGTCATGATGAAAAGTCCCGTAGAATTAATCCAAGATTTCTATCTTTTTTCCAGCGCTGCTTCCATGTCTGGGGAAACAAAACGGTGCGCTTCACGCATATTTTGTTCAGATTCAGTTTTCGTCTTCAGTGTATTTGGTTTTATTTCACGGGCCGAATGTTCTCTGTCCAAGGACCCAGGAGTTGTGGCCGTAATATTGTTTGACGTGGAGATGTTGCCTCGGAGGTGACTTTGCGTCGTGTCAGAACCCCAATGGCTTGGCGTAGGCTTTTCTTCTCTGGCAGTTAGCAGCGCCGTTTCAGTTTTCAGGAGTGATTTGCGAATTTCCATCTCTGGGGGATGGAAATTGCCAACACGTTTAAATGTATCACTGTACCACACCAATATTGTTAAATTAATTGCTCCGAAAAACACCAAAAACCGAACTATTTTTGCTGCTGTCGTCATTCTCTTTGTCTTTCTAAGTGAAATTTAACCAAAGCTTATGCGGGTCTATTAATATAACGCGCGAGACGCATTTCCAGTTGTAACCGTATATGGTAAGCACAGAACCTGCATTCTATTAAATAATAAGCACAGACATCATTTGATATAATAATCATATGATTGAGTAATATTATCTTTATTATGGAATTGCTATTTTTTATCTTGGTGTGCAGGGACAAACTTTGTAGGCCTAGCCATACTGTGAACAGGTGTATGGCTGCGGTTGTATTATTTAAAACTAGCGAAAAAAATGTAACGGAATAGAACACTTTGAATATCCGCCATGTTTATGCTGGCATATCCGGACAATGCAGTCCACCTT